TATAAAGGGTGGTCCAAAATAGAGTTTCTGCTGTTGGGAAGAGGAAGCTTTCATTGGATTACACAATTTTCTTCTAAATCTTATTGACACCATATCTTGATAATTACCACATTTTATTTATCTATTGTTATTTAATTAAGCGATACTTTACTGATCCAAGGCGAAGGCGTTTTATATTATTAAGTTATGTTAAATGTAAATTTGGGTAACCCTGTTACGCGTATGAGCATCGTTACAGTGCATTTGGAGTCAAAACGGCGTGTGGCAGCAACGCTTGCTCGTAAAAATTCCTTGCAACACCGCATTCAGTTGTGAAAATTTTACAGAAAATAAAGAAAATGAAATTCAAAAAGGAAATCAAAAGCAGGTAAAACAAAAATTAAGGCAACACAGTTAGTGTTATGAGCATGAATATGTGTGTCTGCGGGCACATTGCAGCCATCGAAATTCCGGAAGCATTTGGTGCACACAATTGCGCGGACGCCGCACTTTAGAAGACTATGGAAGCAAGTGCTGGTTGATTTGCAAACCACACACACATACACACATACAAAGTAGGACTACGTGTACTGCAATGCAAGTGTAAAATTGAAATTCCAGAAATGAAGCGTCAATATCTATATGCACCCTGCAGGAAATTGCGAATGTAAAATGAAATTGATCACCCGCAATGTACGGTCTATGAAGAGGGTGGAACTTGCAACTTAACTTTATAATTAAAAGCTTTTATTGTTCAGTAAGCTGGGAATCGGCACAAGCCCGATATTATATATCTATGCCGCAATATATTCGGTCACTCCGATTTATTGCGGGTCATGCAACGTGCGCGCACTACAATAACGTTTGTGCTGAATTTGGAAACCACTTGCAACGCCAAAGGCTTTTAATCACTCCAGTCAAGTGTCTCGATGAAATGTGTATGCAAGTCCACTCTTATACACGTGTGCGGGTGTGCTTGCAATGGTAAATAACTGTAAGCTTAAGTGTGTACACTTCTTGAAATGCCATTTCGCAATCATTTGGTTTACGATATTTGCAAAATGAAGGGTTTCATGAAGCGTCATCTTGGCCTTTCAATTAGTTCAATTAAGTTGTTGAATGTTATTCTAATGGCCGGGGATCTTATGTGACGCTATTCCCGTTATATGTAATTACAAATAAACAATTATCGTTCAAATTATTTTTATACTCCGAACAGCGTAATAATATATTAAGTTTGCCACGAAGTTTGTAACACCTATAAAGAAATCCTATAAAATATATACCTATATAAATGATCAGCATGGCGAGCTGAGTCGATTTAACCATGTCTGTCGGATCACTATAGCATATAGCTGCCATACAAACACAACGATCGGAATCAAGTGTTTGCATGGAAAACTTTTCCATTTGACGAGATATCTTCCCAAAACTCGGCATTGGTTATTGCCTAAGGCAATGGTGCGATCTCCGAAGAACTTGTTTAGATCGGACCACTATAACAGAATTTTCAAATCTAATACTTTAACCAAAGAACTTGTTTAGATCGGACCACTATAACAGAATTTTCAAATCTAATACTTTAACCAAAGAACTTGAGCCAATTCAGTCGCATGAAATGCACAATCTACGAAGAAATTTAGTAAACGTTTTATCGTAGTCATTTATAATTGTTAAACTTTAATTTTTTTTAAATAAAACTCCTGTAATCGGATCTTGTATGTCGACAAAGCGCTTTGAGATCAATACAAATCTGCTTAGGCGTTTTATTTCTATTTCCACCTGCTCACCGAAATGTCTGAAGAAGGTTCCCAGGGGTTTTAGCATTGATCTCGGGCAATTAAGAAAGAAGTGTTGAGATTTTTCTACCTCGGCCTCTTCCAAACAGCCTCTACAACCAGGATGCGGAAGGATTCTCAACCTTACCGCGTAGACACCGATAAGACAATGACCATTTAAGAAAAGGGTAAGTTTACTGAGGGCGAAGAGCTTACCAAGCCTCCTGCAATTAACCTTAGGTAAAAAACGGTCTTGCGATAGAGCGAGAACTAATAGTAACACAGCGCTAGCCAAGCTCCCGCGAAGCGCAGCAAACCAGTATTGGAAGGGGAGCAGCTCCAACCCGTAGCCATTTTATTGGTAGCGGGGTGCCTTTTCTTGAGAGTTCATCTGCTTTGCAGTTACCTGCAATTCCGCTATCGCCTGTCATCCATGCTAGTTTTATCACGAAGCGACACAATGCCGTTGATAGCGAGTTTAGGTATGCCTTAGGCTAGCTTTGGTTAGTCATTCTTTAAGTAAAATAAAGTTTATATGTACTTTGATAAAAATATCTTGCAAATTCTTATTGGAAAACCCCTTATTTAAATTTTATAAATTACACCAAAATGCATACATACATAAGCAATTCTAATTAAATCTGAGATATCTTGTTAGTTTTTGGTAATAATTAAATTGTAACGTTTGCACATCGTTGTATATTCGATTTGCTCATTTAGTTGGTAAGAAGTCTATACTTCTATATTCATCTAAGTTTTACATACTTAATTATGTTTGTTGACGTGTAAACTTTACACATACTCATTTAAAGTGCTCAATAAATAAAGCAGCGAGAGGACGTTTTGTTGTGCTCTCCGATAAGACACTTCGCTCGGAGCCAAACAAATTTTAGAGTTTGTTATTAAAACTGCATATAGGTATAAATATTCATACACTGAATGCACGTATAATTTTCAAACGGGTGGCACTTGGTTCATGCGAAATACTGATGAGTCGTGTAATTGATTTCTAAGAAAAACCAGTTAAGGTCGATAACATATGTATGTATATGATAAATTTAAAAATGGCTACAGTTCGCAGAACTTCTGTGAACTTTATAAAAAAGAGCTAAAAGAAAGAAAATATAGAAACACTTTGATTTCTTTTTCCTTTTTCTGCAAATTACCCAATCTAATCAGCAGATATACCTGCGTGCAATGAATCACCCTTTATAAATACATAATTCACTAACGAATGTGATGCGTGCGATTTGCATCAAATATTTGGCAATAGTGTGAGCGAATGTAAATAGACTTAGCACATATGTACATATATGTATACACAAGAGTGTAAATAAACATTACCAAGATCACTACGATTATCAAAACCTTACCTTAAACTTGATACTTTTTATTGGTTTGCTTGCTCTTTTGAGTCGGCGTTTTTTGAGTTTGATTGTTTAGCTTTTTAGTAGCTACTCTTTTCTTCTTAGTTTCATTGAGTTTTCTGTGAAATATCTCACGGATCGCACACTCGCACACTCGCCTGTTTGTTCATTCGCTCCAAAGCGATGCTAACCGACCGAAAGCGAATTTCATACTGAGCAAATCGCTCAATATTTAGCTGAAAGTTGCAGAATTGCACGAATAGCAATAAACGATTAAAATTTTCAATATATAAATGCGCTCCCACAAACGTAAAAACTCATGCACATATTATAAAGTATTAGTGAAATTATTTTCTTTTATTTATTTATTTATTCCGGGGAAAAACAAGTACTAAATGTGTCATTTTTGACTACAGTGGCTTACAATGGTAATGGTACTACTGAGTGTTACCTTAGTTTTAAATAATTTCAATGGAAATTTCGTATTATTTCAGTTAAATAATAAAGCAAAAACTTGACTTTTTCTACCCTGAACAGGGTAAATATATAATACAATAAGTTTGCCACGAAGTTTGTAACACACAGAAGGAAATATCGGAGATCCTACAATGTATATCTGTATATAAATGATCAATGGACGAGCTTAATTGATATAACCATGTCCATGTATCTGACCGTTTGCACTGTATAAGCATGGCACTTATGCTATAGTGCATCGATCTAAATTTATTCAGATATTGTAATTATGCTTTTAATGGCAAATTTTGTAAAAATATCTCTTCGAATGAAAAAGTTTTCTATACTTGATTCTGATCGTTCAGTTTGTATGGTAGCTAAAAGCTATAGTGGTCCGATATTGGCCGTTCCGACAAATGAGCAGCTTCTTAGAGAGAAAAGGTTGAGTGCAAAATTTCAGAGAGATATCTCAAAAACTGAGGGCTAGTTCGCGTATATACAGACAGAGGGACATGGCTCGTCATGCTGATCATTTATATTTCTATTTTATAGGGTCTTCGAAGTTCCCCTCTGGGTGTGGCAAACTTCGCGGTAAACTTACTTGTAATATACCCCGTTCAGGGTATAAAAATTTGGGGAATATATCCCATAACTCCAAAAATAGCTTAAATGTTAAAACAGGGTTGCAAATAATGCATTAAAAAATAATTTAATTAATTTTATTTCTTTGTTATTATTATTTTATACCGAATTGAGAAATAAAAATGAAATATTTTATACTCAAACATTTAATAAAAAGATGAAGAAATATAATTTAATTTAGAATTAATATTTTTTCGCCATCATTCAAATCAAAAAGTAATTTTTTAAATTTTCAATTTTTAATGCCAAATCTTTCTGAAGCATGCAAACTAATGAATAATTTGAAATACTTACAATTATGTACGAAAATAATATTTATCAGTCCTCTGGAAGTATTGACAGTCGGTTGATTTCCATGGCTGTGTTTCTCCGCTACTTAAATGATTTTAATTAAATTAGAAGGTATAACAGTATATAATCGTTTTTAAAATCCTTTCCACTGCAGTCTTAAGAGCCAATGCGCCGCAATAACGTTGGTTATAAAACTTTTTTGAATGCATCGGCAAGTGCAGCCAACTTAATAAAAACTTCCAAAAAATAAAAATCGCAAGATTTTTGTTCAATGCGACTTTGTTTGGCGCTGAAACAATTTATTTGTAACATAGTCCTTCGGCAGCTTTAAATTTATGTCCACAGCGTTGCAACCAAGGGAGAAATAGTTGCAGATAGCTTATTGGCCTTAACTTGGAAATACTTCAGTACAACTATGGAATCTCAATGATTTCCGTGAATGCGCCTGCAAATTTCACAACATTTATTATAAAATGTGGCACGTGTCATGTCGGCGGTGCATAGTCAGCACGTTGCACAAATCAAGCGCTCGACGGCCTTCAATCAAAGTGAACTGACCGCAAATAGAAGATGCACAATGTTGATTCAACGATGGGCGTAAATTCCAATACATTAGTACATACAACTACAACACATACGCAAAAAAAGTCATTGAAGCACTTTGTGCCTTGCAGGGCAGCTGTGGTCATTTGAAATAATAAGTGAAATTTTCAGGTCCAATTTTAGTTTCTCAAGTACTTTTCGAGTGACTAGCGGACTTTTGTGAGAAAAAATTATGGATCGTTTGGTCTGAGAGTTAAATAAATACCTATCTAGCTCTCAGTTTTGGTATCTTCTCAGAGGTTTTAGAAAAAATACGAGTATAGGCCAGACTTTTTCGGTTGTTGATAAGCTTTTATCCCAATTAAGTTGTTTACACAATAGGTTACAATTCGTAGCCACTTCTCAAAAATCTTCCTTGATTAAATACTGTTACTCAAAACCCGATACAACGATGGTCATTGCTCCGGTAGGGTTAAGCTGGAATTTCTATAAGTTGCGTCACTTGTGTGGACGAGTAAAAAGAAGAAGTTGTTGTAACTTTCGCCGGCTGTCTGCGAAATTCCTACACTTGAATTTACGAAAGTTTTGTTTATTTCGTTTTACATGTCGATTTAATATAACTTTTTTTAACACTTTTTTCAGAGAAAGAATTGTATGAATAGAATGACAACTGGGCAATTTTGGTTTTAAGGACAAGCGACGAAGAAAAACGGCACAAAAATATACAACATTACAAGAGTTGCCACAACCGAGTTGAAAGTATCGTGCAAGAACAACAGTCATAAAGCAGCAAGAACAGCAAACTTGGCAGACAAGCGCTGAGAGAGTGGAACAGCGGGCGCAGGCTGTTGTTAAAATGGTTGAAACGATGACAATTGCCAGTTGTTGCAAGTAGCGTAGACTGTCAAAAACTTGTCAAACCAGCACACACAAGTGGCAGCGCACAGAAGCTGCAAGGGAAGTGGCACGACAACAATACGAGCCGAACATAAGAAACACTAGAACAAGCTGCAGCAGCTGAAGACCGCACAAACTAGTTTTTGTGTGTGACAAAACAAAAAAAAAAAAAAGAGATAAATATAAAATTTACGTTGTTTCCTTTTAGCACCAAAGTCCTTTTATTTATCTTAGGCGACACGAAGAACAAGAGCAACTAATAAAACCAACAAAAGAAGTAGCACAAGCCTTACTCGAACCAAACAAAAAGTGTATTCAAGCGCCGAAACATTAAACCGACAGTGAGGACCAGAAAAGTGACATCCACCAGAACCGAAGCTACTTGACGGCTTGAGGAGAGCATAAAAAGCGCAGCAAAGCCATAAAAGAGCTTGAGTTACGCAGAACACAGGAAAAGGTGTTACGAGGGCCGACAACCGTTACTTAGGTTATGCAGCGTTGAAGTGACAACGCTGCTCATACGAATTTGTAACGCCAAAAGTTGGGGACGGCGACGAAGAGAGAGCGCTCATGTGCTTTTGATTAGATCTTTTACGTTAGTGTGCGTAAGAGAAATGTAATCATGCAGATAATGCGTGAATACCTTCAAATGACAATAATAACAACTGCTTACTAATAGCTGCCACAACACAAGCTACAACAAGAGTAAGTTACCCTGAAGAGGAAGCATACAAATCATAAGGACAATATTCACAAGTGAGTGAAAGCACGCTTCCTTTCTGGCAGGATATTCAAATCAAAAGACGCAGCAGCTGCAACAACAACAACGGCACACACTAGCCGGAGGCAGAAATAAATGAGCAAGATTGTTGGCGCACTGTGTGCAATATGTCCGTGAGGACATCGGAATTCTGTGCAAAACACAAGCGAGCAGGGCACAGCATGACAACTGGAATGTAATATTGCGCTGATAACGGTGAACAATGTTTGTGTGATTTGATAGCAACAACAAAGAGGAGAACAATAACAAGAAACAAAAACCAAAAAGCAAGAAAAACAACAATAAATAAATAAAATAAAATAAAAACAATTACCTCAGACGCAAAGGAAAACAACCAACGGCAGATTGCAGTCGACGGAAGCGCGACGTCAACGACAGCATTCGCAAGCAGCAGCAATAGCAATTAGTCCATAGTGCCACCGGTGTGTGACAACAGAGAATAATGCGCCAAGACAAGGCAATACACGCAAGCCGGACGGCAGTCACGAGCAGTACACAAGGCGAAACACCAACGCCAACGTCAACAACAGCAACAGCACAAGTGTCCGCTGCAATGTCGCAGCAACAACAACGAGTACACAAGGCCGCCACACAGCCAAAAGCAGCATCAGCTGCCGCAACAGCCTCGGCAGGGTCGGCGAGTGCAACAGAAGGCGAAACCGAAACCGAAAACACGCCGTACGCGGAGCACCGTGTTGACATGAGATGTCCAAACAGTATTCTCCATGCTGCGCAGCAACAACAAATGCCTGCAATAGACATGGCCTTGAGCGCCAGTGCTGCATTGGAGGGCAGAAGCGGCAGCGCAGCGACGCACAAATCACATGGCCAGCAAACGGTAATGCCAAAAGCAGTGCACACCGTCACGGCAGCCGAACTGCTAACGACAGCAGCAGCAACAAAATCAACAATAGATTGCAAAACAGTGAACGTGCGTCGCCTGCCAGCAGTTGATAAGGATAACGATAACAAAAGCAACAGCAGTACATTGTTGACACAACAACAACAACAACAACAGCTGCAACAGCAACAACGAACCATGGCCACCACAAAGTCAACGCCAGCAGTTGCAGAGAAGGCAGACAGCGCATTCCACACATCAAATATTTTCACTGCTGTCTGCCGGGGCTACAGTTGGGCCAGCGCCAAGGATCGCACCAACAGCAAAGCGCTCTTCCAACTTCTCAATATGATTTTTTTCATGCTGTGCCTCATTGCGTGCGCTTTGGCGATGTACAGCATTGTGCGGCATTCGCGCAACGAGCAACGGTTGCGGCAAGTGTTGCAACTGGACGAACGAATAAGTGCACTGGAGCTGAGGCTGCAATTATGTGAACAGCGCCAACAACCAAGACAACAACATTTCGATTTGGACACGAACCGGCCGCTAAATAATGAGCGCGCCAGCCCGGAGCTGGACACCGGTGATTTGCATAATCAGCTAGGGGAGCCATCAAAGCAAATGTCTGTGGATGTGACACAAACGCTGCAACGATTGTCGCGACAGGTGAGCGATTTGCATCGTTTGCGTCGTGATGTTTCGCATTTGCAAATGTCGCGTCGCCAACAGCAGCGCCGGCAGGCGAGTTTGGCGGCGGCGACCACCGTCGATGGACTACTATTGCAGACACCGCAGCAAACGCATTCCGGCGAGTGTGGATGTACGGCAGGTGAGTGACTTATATTCAACACATACATATATAAACATTTTTTAAATATTGTATTGTAGATAGGTACACATTTTTTCCTTTTTTCTTATACCTATTAGATTTTTTCAGTTCAAAGCTCTTTTCGCCGTTGTTGCAACCGCGAAATTTTGAAACTTCGCAAAGTTTGTAGTGCTAGTTTTTGTGTTGACTATTCGTTCGTTTAGAAACATATGTGTGTATAATATTTCAAAACAAGACTATAAACGCAAAGGTTATTATAAGTCAGATTAGCTTGAATACTGCTAACAACCGAAATACCATAATTCCAAGGTACTCTGATATCGTTTATTATATGGTTTTATTCGTTAATTTTTGGATCCAAATATTTCTCCTTTTATTCAGCTTTTTTTCGGTCTTTGAAAAATAAAATGAATTTAAACAAATAACACGGTTTATTTAAAATCCAAATAACTTCAATGTCAATATCTTCCATATTTAGTACCTATGATGAAAATTTCATTTTCATTTTTCATTAATTAATAATATCCTATTGAGGTCTGATAATAGACATGTTGCTAAGTCGAAGAACCGTAGAAAACGGTGAAAGAGAAACGAAGCTTATTTACGAAATTTTGCGATCGTTTTGATCGTGAGTTGTTGCCGCACCCACTTTGAAGAGAACTTTCGCATAACCATAATATTATTGTGTGTGTCCACCCGTTTAATACTCATCACATAATTTTTTGGTATCAGCAGCATGTTTTCCCCCCATAACATAGTGTTTCCTTAAACCTGAACATCGTATATCTTACAAGATGATATTTCTTTTCAATCTGCCTGGTGTAGAAATATGTAAAGCGATGGTAAGTGGATTCCAAAAGCAATTTAGCAGAATAGTATTAATTTCAATTCCACCAGTCCGGTACTGTGCATGTGTTATACAATGTTACACACTCTCTATCCTATTACCATTAATTCAGGAAATCAGTTTAAAATCAATGTGATAATTTCTCTGACAACATTACGCCTGCCGCTGCAACGTAAAGCTAATCGTATCGAAATAATAATTGAATTAATGCTTAGTTACCGAACCGAACTTACGCACATACCAGACCCCGGACACATACTGCCCACTAATATTATATATACAGCCATAAATGGGAATTTAGCTGGTTTTATATACTTATCTACATATATATGTACATATGCATCCATGCTCGGTAATTACAGAGGAATGTTTAGGAAGCTAACTAAATTAACGAACCCCATGGATCTGTTGGACCAGTAATGTGTGGTGACGACTGCAGCCGGTAATTATTTACGTGCAAATAGCAAAACCAGCTTAGGACGCTTAATTGCGTACAAGTTATCTGCTTGCTCGCTGGTTCATATACAATATATATATAGGTGTTCAAATTTGTATATAAGCATGTACCTATTTACTCATATAAGTCCTCTGCACTAGATTACTGGATAGATTTGTTTAAAGCAAGTTGACCTACAACTGAACGCAACCAAAAAATTAATTTAGCTTAATAATGATATTTTGCAGCAATGCGCAAGCAAATATATACTCTCATGCCTAGAAAGAAACTCATAGTTTTTATAGAGTTTCTTCCTATTTGAAATCCTCAGGGAAATTAGAAGTATCGTTCGTTTCTTTTAATCACATCTTTGAATAGTCTGTACTAATATTGAGCGTTGAATTCGTCATTGTATGTAGTATTTGACATTTCTTTAAGCAGTTCTAGTTCTGTTCTATAACATTTTTACCATATTTATATATATACGGATTATACCCTGAACAGATTATGTTAACAAATAAATATAACTACTAATAACTGACATATTAAAATAAATTTCTTGTATGGCAAACGTTTTTATTTGTGAAGGGGACCCGAAGTTACCGAGTTTTCCTTTTTAAACATTTTTTAATTCTAAATTTTATTTCAATTCAACTTTTAAATCTAGTCTAATCCCTGCATTATAGAAAGTAGCCTAAATGTTGTGAATTAAAGATTTTAGATTTAGCGTTCATGTTCGAACATTTTTGTTTAGATGGGAGGAAAATATAAGGCGGTAAAGCTCAATTGTGTCAACTCTAGGGCTCAAAGGACGATAACTTCACGTCTATGCGATACAATTCCCAGCAACAAGAATTATTTTCCATATCTCCATAACGGTCAGCAATGATAGAATTTCGATGATCCCTTCGTCAAAAAATTATGTGACCGAAAAAAAATTATATTCGTTTTTTCAAGACCCTATTATCGAAGCGTTTAATATATTAGAGTATCCTTCCATCTGAGTATTTGTAATATACACATCTTGTCAATTATTTTCGGTTGATACATATGTAAATATGTCGCTACCCAACCTAATGTGCATGCTTCATCCTACAAGCATAAATGTGAGAGCGTATGTGTTGCTTGCAGGGAAGTGGGCACACATTTTATTGAATTTGTTGTTTCTACGTAGTACTTCGGCTGCTGTTAATGCTCTTGACCACAGCGTCTGCAAGCTACAATTAGCAGTTTAGCCCCACAATTACACATACATACATACACAAACATAATATATATACCCACATAAGTACCTATATAAGTTTCGCGCCGCAGTTCGTTCCGTCACATCTTCACTTTTTCGACCTTTGTACGGGTGTTTGTACCCCCGCCAACCTGCACAAAGTTTCAGCCGTTTATTCACTTCTCTCATGTCTTGCGGCCAAAGTTTGTTGCTTTCTTTTCTTCTCCCCATGCCCTCCTCACCAACGTCTTGCTATTGTTCTTATAAATACAGACTCGTAATTTCTTTCTTGTTGATGCTTTATCCACCTACGGCTGTCGTTTATTCCATTTCGTCCAGCAGCTTTAGTCCAGTGCCTGAGGGGGCAGGAGCTCTGCTTCTTTGTGGCTCCCATTTTTGCTGTTGATATTTAATTACTTGAGAGGGTGGCAAATTTATGGTAGTTTAGAGATTTCATTAATTGGAAAAGCGTTTCCAAAGAAGTTGGGAGAGTTCGAGTGTCTGTGTGTGTACCACATATTAGGTGACTCGTCGGCGTTGTGCAAATGAAATTGGTTACAGTAAGTGTTGCATATATTGTATATGTATATAGATATGTATGAATTCTCACTGTGCATATCCGGGTTGGTGCTGGAAAATCTCTCGTCGACTTGACGTGCCTATTTAGCTTACTAAAGTTAATGGTGCGATAAATTTGGTTAGGGCTAACTTTTTTCATATATAAAGTAAATATATATGCATTTACTCTCATATTTATGTAGGAATGCGAAAACAATTTATTTATTTTAATATTAGAAAATAGTTTGGAAAATTGTTTTGCACATTTCCAGTTTTATTCCGGGTGTTTGATCGCCTCATAAACTCGTTTGAGTCATTTGATGCGGGAATTTAGTTGATCTGAGTGCTTAAGGTCTTCAAAATCATTTTTATCAAAAATAATGTCATTGTAGAGAAATAAAATACGCAGTTGTAAGAAAATTTTCTAAATTTAATAATATTTCTATTTTAGAGATTTCTCATACAACCACGTTTGTGAGGAAACGGCGTGAATGTTCACCAGGTTTTACTATTTTACACAATTTTGAATTTTATGCTTGCCACAAAGCTTGTGACACCCACTAATAAAATATCGGAGACCCAATAAAGTATATATGTATATATATACATATATATAAATGATCAGCGTGACGAGCTGAGTCAATTTAGCTATGTCTGTCTGTCTAACTATCTGACCGTTCGTCTGTCTGTATATACGCGAACTATTTCCACAGTTCTTGCGATATCTATTTGGAACTTTGCAGGCGTCTTTATCTATGCAGCTGCCATACAAGCAGATCGATCAAAATAAAATTGGAGAACTTTTCTATTTGCCAAATTGTCTTCACGAAATTTGTCAGTAATTCTTGTTCAAGTCAACACAATAAAATAAACAACCTAACCTCCTGATGTGTCGATTAGTTTTTTCAGTTTTCGAATCGTTGCTTCAAAACCTCGAATGTTCAGCTAAAGTTTTTTAACGCTCATTGAACTTGTCAACACAAAATATTAACTTTTTTAACATACATGAAATTCTGAAATTATTTGATTATTGAACTACCAGTGGATACGCCGGTCTTACCTATATTCGACACGAAGAGGTTGAAATGGAAAACTTTCATTTGAACATTGGGAAGTGTATTTAACAAGGGCAAGAGAGTGTGTTTCCATTTGGTTAATGTAATGCATATTACAGAATTTAAATTCAAACCACTTCGAAAAATTTTTAAACTTAGAAGCTCTGAAAGGTATTTTAAGATTTATATTTACCCACAGTTAATTCAAAAAAAGGCAAATATGCACATATCGAACACAAGTAGTCTTTTCTCGCCGTATTTTTTTACGCCCATCTCCTACTAAATACACTTATATGTAACTTTTTTTATATATTTTTTCCTTTTTTTGCCATTTTTTTCCCCCTTCTGTCCTTTGGTCTGTGGCCTCAAACTCAACCAACTGCCATTACCCCCAAACATATTCACTTTTTCGCCTCACGCGCTCAACCCGCACCTCATTTTACCTATCTTTCCACATCGCCTGCGCCCCTCCCTTGAACACATCTAATGTATACATTTATTGGTGTTTAGCGTGTTTAGAGCTCGTGTCACTTGGGAAAAGTATTTATGTAGTTCTGCGTCGATAAAGTTTGATTATTCAGGGATTACTGTCGGATTGGTCGTACCGGCTCTCAAGCACAAACATTTCAAAATCGTTAGAACGAACTACCACAACTCGCATTGTCCCTTTGTTATTGTTGTTGCCACTGCTGTTATCCGTTTTGCATAAATTCGCACAGACGCTTGAGAATATGGAAATAACACAGCCGAAGAGAGAGAAAAAATTCAGTCAAAATTTATTTCGGACATGCGACGCCTGCAACGCTGGCGGTGGCGAGCTTAGGAGGGCGCCGAGTATTAACACAATTTGTCGCCTGCAATAAAAGTAAGTCTTGGCTTATA